TTTTGCTTTTCGTTTTCCTAGTACATGTGCCTAAATGTCTAAGTTTAGACGCCTACAGCCTGAATCTTGAATTTCTTCTGAGCTTAAATGGTTTACCAGAGTAAAAGGTAAAAAGAGGATCTTGCTCTTAACTTTGTCTGAGATCACTGTTCTCCCTGGTAAAGCCAAGTGACAGTGTGGTAATCACGGCAGAGCTATGGGTATTTTGGCACTAGTCTAAAGAGTTGCCAAGCCCTGAAGCATTAAAGCTGAATCTGCACTTTGCTAGTCTAATTTTTCAACTGGGTGGAAGGAGCAGCAAATACATACGCATCTCCCTGTTCTCCTTGACTTTCCAATCCTGAGCCCATGCTTTTCTGAAGAGGCAAGCTGTCAGCAGCAACAAGCACTGAGTAGCCATCATTGTGCTGTGTTTGGAACTTTATGCCTATAGGGTCTGTATCCTGATGATACTGCCTTAATTAGTTCTTGCAATAAGTGTGTGTGTGTGTGTGTGTGTGTTTGAAAGCTGTGATGCTCCTTGATTAATTGCTGGATGTTTAGACCAGCATTCTTCCTGCTAACCCAGAACTCATGATGGAAATTCTCAGAGAACTTTGCTTTAATCTCCCAGGTGCTCAGCACTTCTTCGTAAGGTTTATGTCCATGCAGAAATGAATTTACCGAGACAAACGAATGCAGTTATTGACCAGAGCAGCCATTACCTGCCTCTATTGAACAGCTAGGAGAGGGTTAAGAAGAAAACCTCTTGTGAGCCACTAGATTGGCCCTGACTAAGATGAATGTCTAATTCACTCCCAGCGTCCTTACTGCTGCCAGTAATAAAAAGCTTGCTTCACATATTCACCCCACTGCAAACGTTTCTCTTAAATTAAATATCAAGAGGACATATAATAGCACGATTCCACGCCAAGCCAATATTATCAGATTGATGTCAGCAGTGATAATAGAAGAAGGATAAGTTGATGAGATTTCATTTATTAAATAAAGTAAAGGGAATACGCAGTGATAGAGAGGATTTGGTAACTCTTGATGTGTCAAAATGCAGCAAGATCACACTCATTCTGTGCTTACCTCAAGGGATAGCAGAGAGAAGGATGTCCTTTGTTTCATTTTAAGAAAACCTCTCTCTCCTTTTCCAGACAAAGACCTGATTTAGATTGCTCGGTGGGAGGGGGAGAGGAAGATGAGAAATCATGGATTTTGTGTGTACATACCTTCCTTTCCACCGGGCAGCAGAGAAGCAAAGGTCTGTTTCCCCAGTATGATAAGGGAGACAGGGCTAACGGGTTTTATTTCTAGCATCATCCTTTCCTCTTTCCCACCTGTCATCTTTTCTCTTTTCCTCTTCCTTTAAACAGAGGAGAGCATGCATTATTGGTTTGATCTTTCATATTCTGTTTGTCTTGCATTTGTCTCTGAGGTGTTGTCAGAGCTCATCTCCCGTGCTTCACCGTCCGTGGATGGCATCCTTGTTCCTCCCATCCCAGCCCTTCTCTTTTGCCTTTTTCCTAGCTCCTATAGATGAGCCTCTTGCATCTGTTTTGATAGTAGTGGTGGGAATCGTAACAAGCTCTTTTTTAAACAGAGGGTAATTGCCTACCCTTTTCTGGAGGTAGGATGCTATTCTTAAAACGATGACCGGTTTTATAAGAAAGGTCTAAGTGTGCTAGTCCCCTGTTCTTTCTATATTCTAACCTCATCCCTATTCCACCATATTCCTTCCCCTCTTAAGAAATAATAATAAAGAAGCTTCAAAAAACCAGACATGCTTACCAAGGGTAGTGTAGCAAAGGGTCAAGATGATGAGTTTTTATAAGGGGCAGTTATTGCCAGGAGCCTTGAGCTGGGCTGAGGTTGAAGGGAGATAGCTGACAAAGATCCACCTGCTTTGGCAGTCAGCCTGCCATTGCTATGTAGGGATGTTAAACGCTCTGCTGGGCTCTACCAGGTTTTTCATGTTTAATTCCTTTTCCTTTCAGATGTGAAGGAGTAAAGCCAGGCAACTGTAAGGTGCGTCTGGCGTATAGCGCTGTAGTTCCCACTTGCATGCAAATGCTGCAACCTGAAGTTAAAAAACACTTAATATAAACAGGAGAGTGACATCCCCTTGAGTCAGTAGATAAGAGCTAGGACAGTAGTGCTTGCTGTGCTGGGAGGAGAGCTCCTCAGGCATTTGTTCAATTCAAATAGCCTTTTTTGGTCTGGATGGGCATGAGAATTAGTCTGCTGGACATGAGTGGCTTGTGTACTCCCTACCTCTGCAGGATATGCTTCCTTGCCCGTGAGCTTGCATTTGCTTCTAGACTCAGTTTCATGGATCACGCTGCATGGTGGGGCGCAGTGACAGTTATCTCCTGAGCAGCACTAGCTTCCGGCGCTAAAGTGAAATGTCATTCTCAGTAGGATTTAACTGGTTTTGTTGAATTTCCAGTTCACTTGTTAAGGCATTCATAAATTGGCTTGCGTGATTTCTGTTGATAATTGCCTTAACTGACTTTGCGTTACATTGATTAGTTTCTCTAAATCTGTTTTGGGAAGCTGGTGCTATTGAAGCCTAAATGGAGTCTGAGATTTTATTTTGAAGAAACAGCAATTTACTGATGCAAGGAGAGATTTTTATTACAATTCTGGGTGCCTGGAATTCAGTTATCCGATAAATCCTCTATGTTGTGGGAAGCGGCATGTACGAACACTGATTTAGGTACTTGCTGTGGAGTGGATGCTGTCTCGTACTGGTTGATCCCTTGCCTCTGGTAGGCTTTAGGCAGTCACAGGCGTTCAGGGGCTTTTTGCTTACCACTGCTTGGCTTTTAAATAGTCCTCCGCTCTGTGGACTGAGTATCAAGGTGTCTCCTAAATAAGAGAGCCACAAACTTTGCACTACTGTCTAAGCTTGCAGATAAGTCCGAGATTCATGTTTACTCTAGGCAATGAAGACTGATGCTGTAGGAGGTACAGTGAAGGAAGAGATTAAAAAAAAAAAAAAAGGCCTAATTGCCTTTGTTGGCATGGAGAGCTATGGGAATCTTGAACATGCTTCTAAATATTTCTCAGAGATGTTTGTATGATATCATTCAGTTCAGATGAATATAGACCATTTTGTGACATGCTGTACCTTTTTCCCCTCCTGGCTGTCTGCATGGAAATTGTAAAATGCCCTTCAATTTAATGTGACTGAGTTTAAAAAACGTAATTTTAAAAGTCTTAACTTTTTCAATGAATTGAGGGATTTGATGGTATTTCCTGACCTGGTATTGTTTGGTATCGTTTCCACTGTCTCACTGATTTGATTAGAATGATATTAAAGTTAGTGACAGAGCAAAATGCCAACATTATGAGTTTCTGAAGCTCTCTATGGGTTCTTTTCCATTTCAAAATTTGAAGTTTTTTTTTAAAATACAGATTTTTTTTTAGAGGCTTTTATGATGATATTGTCTTGAACATACAAAATTATAAATGCATGCTAGCCTCTAGGGACCATATATGGAATATATATTTCTCCTAAAGGCTATAAAATTAGAAAAGGGGTGCAAAAAGAAGTCTATGTGGTATTTTTGGTGGTTTCTGATCTAACCGTTGGTGTTTTATAGGGTGACTGTTGTGATGCTGCTATTACATTCTTAGTCTGGCCGCACATGTTGGCAATATAATTGGGGGCTGAAGAAGTCTCATTTGGAGTATGGCTCAACCAAACTATTTTGAGGAAGGGACCTGGTTGCTGATATGCAAAGGACAGAAATTTTTTTCCCTCTTTTGTTCCTTTTCCCTTGCCTTCCTGAGCACCCTACAAAGATGAGCATGGTTTGGAAACTCAGGTCTGAGCTCTCCAAAACCTTTTTGGAAGATCTTGGCTTAAGATGTTAAGATTCCTAGAAATCTGTTCATTTTACCTGACGGAAAGAAACTTGCTCCAGAAATAGGTCAGGTTTCCTCCGTCTGACTGTGAAGTGCTATTGCTGAATGGGCGACTGTTGTTACTGTGGCAGTGAACATATCATCGCATGGCATTTGTGTCTGCCTATAGCATCGAGTGCTTTGGAAAAAAGAGGTGCACCTGAGGTTTGAGCACAGATCAGTAACCATACTGGGGCAGAATATGCAAGGAATTAAGTGGGTTTTTGTTTTGGGAGGCTGCATCTGAGAACTGCTATGCCTAAGCATATGTTCAGGGTCCTCATATAAAGCATGCCATGGCAATAGTGCTACAAATTCCTGCAATTTGTGTCTGCATGTCTGTGCAGCTGATGACACTATTCGTTAGTGTGTTAGTGCTGTTGTTGCTGGCAGCATTTTGCAACGACCTTCCCCTTTATTGGTACTGTTGCTGACGATGTGCCATATGTACACGTGCACGTTACAGTATATGTAGAAACATCTCTAATTGTTCTTGGGTAGCTGTTAATGCCACTTATGGGGTATGAGTACTAATTGCTTCGGAAATGCAAAGAAACAGATATCTAGTCTTCCTATTATTCCCTATTTTTCCTAATCACTAGGAGGACTGTAGTGTTTCCAACCATGCTGAATTTTTGGAAATGCTTAAATAGATGAGAATTCAATAGATTGAGGTGACTCATTCAACATGTCCATTCAATCCCCCATCAGACTGTTGCAGATCTTCTGCAGGCCCAGCCAGGATTCCTAAGTTCTGCCAAAGATTTCTAATGTGACTTGGGGAATTCATTGAACCTCTTGGAATTGATTTTCCTAGCTGTAGAGGAGAGACGATGTTTTATCTAAGGATAACACACAACCTTCCTCCTTCCTCAACCTAGAAGGAGTATGCTTGCTCTTTCTGCTAAGTACTCTGGGTTTTTTAGCTGAAAGACACTGTTAGCCGTTTGACCCCCTTTGATGAGTGCTGCTCTTACCTGTTTCTTTATTTTTTAGGACTAGGTGACTCCAAGACAAAACCAGCATTTGTGCCACTAGGAAAGCAGTAGTAAGTAGATGAGAACTCCTCTTCACACCTCTTCCTGTTCTTGTTTGCTCTGCAGGAGGAGGAGCACTGATCCTGTCTGTGCAAGGCTGCAGTCTGAAATTTTGAAGTGCTACCAAGAAAACAGACATGAAGTACTCAAATGCTCGGAGCTGGCTAAGGAGTATCAGCGCTGTGTTAGCGCAGCTCAGAAGGTAACAAAAACTTCCCTGACTTAACTGTCTCTGCTATCTTGTTTTGCACAATGTTTTCTTAGGAGAAACGTCTCTATGTGCTATGATCTCTATCGGTCAAATTGCACTGTGCATAGAAAACAGATTTTCCTCAGGATCTGCCTTTTTACTCTCACATCCATCCCACGTTTCCCATTCACAATGTGGTACGTCCCAACATCACTCCCATCAGCACGTGCTGTTGTGCTGAGCTGGCACCAGGACGGTAGTATTGCCACTCCTAGGTTTCAAAGTGAGTTGCAATGTTTTTCTCAAGTTTTACCATTCTGAAACCGGTAGGCAAATTCATTTTTACCAGTGTCAGCAATATTTTGAATGGACTCTAAACATCCTTGCTCCCATTATGGGACCTCGCAATTGGAAGGCTTGCTTTCTTTCACTGCTGTGTGAGGAAAGCTTCTTTCAGAGATGCAGAGCCCTAGTAGCTGCTGTTAATGCCTTAGGACTGTGGCTGCTCAGCACCTTGGAAGAGTATTACGCCATTTAAGTAAAAGGGAGAAAGGAAAAAATGAAGTATTTGGATGTTATGACTAGGATGGTCTTGAGGGAAGTGACAGGGAAGATGTAAGCTGCTGCTTGTGATGTCCAGAGCATAAAGGATGCTGGTCCCCGTGCGAGAATTCTCTTGGTCAGATGTCCCTTAAGGACCGACTTATTTTGTGTGGAGAAGTTCTTCAAAGGGTGCTGAGGCTATAGTAGGGTGGGTTTGAGGAAAGGGATGGAGCCTTCTGGGAACAGAAAACTTTGAGACTCCTCTCACGGGATTACTAACGTGAAAGGGAGGGAAGGTGGAGATTTCATAGAAGCAGTCTTTCTCTGTCGTATTAGCATTGTGAGGGGAAGCTGTATGCCTGATTTAAGTATAACATGAAACAAGCTGCCAGCCGGCTCCCAGAAGCAGCCCAACAGAAGGAGATGGGAAAATTGTCAGGATATATTAGACCAAATGTTGTTGCTAGTCCTAGTGGAATTTTTTTCCTTCCTGTTTACAAAGAAGGTCTTTGTATGTCTGCAAATCAGCAAGGTTAAAGCTGCCAGGGAAAGGGCTTTCTCTGATATCTTTAAAGTCCCCAGCTCCCCAAACGTGCGATTGCTTTTTCTTTCTCCGCTTTAAAGTAAAGTGGTGCCTGTGCTGCTGCTGCACAACCCAGGCCCTCTGTTGCTGTGTGCGGAGCGCTGGTGCATCTACTGCCAGCCTCCCTTACCTGGTGCTTCCTCCTGGCCTGCTGTAAATCAGGCTTGTAGCCTTTTCAGTGGAGTATATCTTTAGCAAATGCATTTACCAATACATCTTTATTGCATGCGGTGCGGGCGGAATGTGATTACCAAAGAAGACAGATTGCATTAAACTTCAGTGTTTTTGCAAGCTGCGGCTCCAACCCGCCGGAGAAAGGGGCTGGGAAGCTGCCAGCCTTGAGCCCCAGCCCGATGTTATTAAAGAGCAAATTGGAAGCTGAATGACTGGTAACAGCAGAGGGCAGTGAAGGATCCTATTAGCTTGGAGCTTTCTTGGATTTGTGTGGTGGGGTGGCTTTTTGGTATGCTTGCTTTGTAACCCAAAAACTGGGGGTGTTCTTGGTTCCCAGAGTGTCCACTGAAAGTTGGAAATATTTTTCCTGCTGTTTTGGAAACTTCCTGGAAGGAGCAGTGCCTAGGACATTAATTTTCTCTGGCTGATGGCAAAGTGACAGAAAAATCTACTTGCTGTGTAAGAAGGGGTAAGAGAGACTAGGAAATGGGTAACTGAGTCTCACGGCTAGATATAGGTATTAAAGGATTCTGCAAGAGCGAATTAAAGCAGAACTTACGGGTAAGCCAGTATCTTCTGTCGTTGCCTTTATCCAAGGACAGCTCGAGCCCTGACGATTTGCCTCGCTGCTCGTACTGAGTACTGTGACTCCTGAGATGCAGGTAGCAAACATGAGCTCTTGTGTTTTTTTCCACAGGGACTTTAAATCTCCCTCCTCCCTTCCCCTTTTAAGCTATTATTTTTCTTTAAGCTTAAATTAGCGTCTTCTACCAAATGGCCATCAGTCTCATGCGTTCCTTGTTGGAGAAATTCAGGTTGGAGGAATTTGGGAAAGAGGGGACAGGCTCTCTGTTTTTTTTTTTTCCCTTTTTTTTTTTTTTTAAAAGCTTCTTTTTAAATACAACTTGTTTTCCAGGACAGGAGGATGTTGTAATCAAAGCTGGATGTGTGACTTCAGCTCACTTGCATGCTGGTGATTTTGTTCTTCTGCTTTTCACTAAAGATTTTATAAGGCTTGGTGAATATTCTTTAATGAAGCATCTGGTTCTCTGCGAGTTTCTTTTGATGGCTGGTAAAAATGTCTCCAGGGTGCAGTATACATTAGACTCGGAGAAAGAAAACTCTAGATTTCTAGAATGAAAATTACAGCTCACAGTGGATGACTACAATTCCTTGCATCTTCCCCCTTACTGTGCTGGTTTGAGCCCGTTCCTTTGGGCACCCGTTTCCCCTTGCCTTCTGCTTTGCGCATCTCTGAGCCAGGAGGTTGGATGCATCCTCAGTTACTTCTGCCCCGCGGACAAATATATCAAGGAATCATTTTGTGAGTTTTGAAATGTATTTGCTGCTCTCATGTCCTGTGCAGGCCCTCTTACTGGAATAAGTTAACTTTGTAGTAGTGCTGATGTGACCGATGTTACCTGTTATGTGTGTTTTCTGATCGTCAGGGCTTTTTTTTTGTAGTCAGGGGAGAGAAATAGGCACCGCTAGAGCACATCTAAAATAGGTCAGCTGAATTGCCATCCGCAAGTGAGTATTCCTCCCTGCTGCTTAGGAGGCATGCCTAGACCACGAACTCCAAAGTAAATGCCTATATTGTGAGTGTTTGTGGAATTACGGGAGCTGGATCCTGTTCCGATCGTCAGCGCTGTAGCCGGTGTGCTCTCGGCTTGCCCTAACTTTCCCCTTTATACCATGCTGAATGTTAAGTTGCGGTTGTGTCGTCATTGGCTCGCGGCGGCATCAGCCCGCTTGGGCTCTCTGTTGCTCGCTGCATCCTGAGCTTTGCTTATGTTGGAGTCCGCTGGCTATGTGTTACTGTAACGTCTGCTGTTTAATTTAGGAGTGTTTTATCTTTTCTGGTGGTCTGTTTTCATGGCTCTGCAGAACTTCAGCTACGGCATAAAAATCGCTGGTTTTAAATCTAATAAAAGCCGGGATAATGGGACAGCTGTGGGAGGGGCAGTTCCCATTGTGTCTCTTCAAATTGCCTGTAGTTTATTGACCGCAAGTTTCACTAAGAGCTACTGCTGCCGTTAGATAATGAGAATTGAAAATTGCTGCTGCTGTTTCCCCAAGGTTTTATCTCGTGCCAATGAGGAGAAGGTGTGGAAGGAAAAGGAGAGTGGGCAGTGGAAATCTGGGTAATTTCTTACTTGGAGTCCAGATGGAAGGGAAAAACAAATGAATTTTTTTTTTTTATCTGAATTCTATTACTGAGTAGTTTTCCTCCCCTTGCAAATGTGCACTGACATACGAGCGTTTTAGAACATTTGTGTGACCCCGCTGCTTCCTTCACTTCCTGTTCGCACCCGCAGGCAAGTCTGAATTTCCCGAGAGTTTTATTTGGTTAATTTGTTACATAATCAGTACGTACAAGGGGATCTCTGACCAGCTGCCACTTGAAAAATGTGGCCTCTGGTGACCCATATAGTAATGTGATTTGAGAATTTGAACGGTACCTTCTTCTGGCACGTGTGCAGAAAAACATGTCCTAGCGAATCGCATGTATCCCCTTTTCCCCCAAGTGCTCTCTTAGTGTGTCTTTAGATGCCTGCCTTTCATAGAGGGACCGAACTGAAATTTTAGCGCTCTAGCTCCTGGCCAAACCAAGTTATGAAGAGCTGCATACTCCGCCACATGTATTCCCTTGTCAATAGGAGGTGTATACATTGAGCTGGGAGCCGTTCATAATTCTGCAGTCGTCTTCTCTCCCTATTCTACCTCCAACTACTCACGAGTCTGCTAGACATAACAGACAAATGTAAACCTGCTTCTATTAAGGCTTTAGGGCTTGTCTACATAGGGAAATTACAATGCAATAAACTGGAGAGCGAGTTTATTGTGCTGCGACGTCTCTGTGCATGGGCTTTCTCGGTTTGTGATGGAGGCGCAGGGAAAACTCGCGCTCTCGTTTGCTGTGAGTCACTGTGCTGGGCAAACAAGCCCTTGCAAAACGCTCTGGTCCGCCTAGATTCCAGCAGAGGTAGACTTTTAACGTAACCTTGAGCATGCTGCACTCTCCTTTACCCCTGACTGTAATAAAAGGTAACGCAATCAGTCTACTGTTCCTAGTTTTCCAAGTCATCCTTGTGAAAGCCTGGGCCCTGTTTAACACACGGGGCAGAGCGGTGCAACTCTGCCTGAAGTTTGCTTTCAATTTGTGGGCGGTGACCTGGATTACTGCCACCCAGAAGATGCAGCAGATATGGCCACGCAGTGTCCCATCCTGATCGAGTAGTTTCACTGGAGCGTTTTGGCTCCTGCTGGAGCACGGCCTGCTGGGAGCTGTCGTTTCCGCAGCCTGAATCTCTCTCTCCTTAATAGAATCAACTTCAGGATGCGCTGGATGCCACGGGCTGCACTGCAGGTATCTCCGATCATCAGGTAGTATTAAGCTCTCTCTCTATAGAGCTGTTTCCATTCTGATGGATTGCAAAATGCTTTATAGACTGTTTATATAGATTTGGAGGTAAAGATGCAGAACGCATGATTAGAGGAAGAAGACTTTGGCCAGGTGTAGTGAGGAGAGTATCCGTGCTTGAGAAATGCCAAGATTTTTTTCTTTTTCTGAGATTCCTCAGAGGTACATCTTAGCTGTTGAAGTCTCATAGAGAAGATCTAAATATATCACACAGTATGCTACTTGAAATACAGTTTATCTAACTTGGAAGGCTTTAGGGTTGTTGGAGCTTTCTGAAATTCAGCTTTG